AGAGAGAGAGGGGGAAAAGAGAGGGGAAGGGGGAATATTAGTAATTTAAATACGTATTTTTATAATTAAACTAATCCCAACATCATCCATTACTGCATTCGAATCTTGTTTTTGCGCATTTATCGGAGGTGAAAGTTCCATTGTATCAAATGTTGATAATGAATTACTTCCCTGCATTCCATATTTCATATATCTGAATGTAATTAAATTTTAAAAAAAATTTTTTTTCAAAGCAATTTTCAGAAAAAATATTTTTGGTAAACTTTTAAAATAAAAATTTCATCTTTTTAAATATAATCAAAATTCAATTACATTTCCTAATATTTTATCTTTAACTAGGCTATAATCTATATTTGACGCAAAAAAAAAAGAAGAAAGACAATGAAATCCTTCAAAATATGATACTAATTAAATCTTGTTAATAATCATTCCAACATTTCAAATGAAATCATTAAAATTCAATAATTTATACCCTAAATTTAACATTCATTTTAAAAGTTTCAAATAATAAACCACTATTTATAAGTGTTTTAAATAGAAAATTTTACATCTTACCTCTTATAAAAGTAGAATACAAGTGATAGGAATAAAATTACAAATATAATTGAAATCATAACACCCGACACAGCGGCCATTTCCATTTGACCTTGTTGCCGCGAAAAGTAAATATTAGCATCGTTGATTAGTTCACATTGTCGACCACGAAATCCTGTTGGACAGCTAACGAAAACAAAAAAAGAAAAGCAAATTTGATTATATGAAGATAAAAAAAGAAAAAAGAAAAAAGAATTTGATTAGAAAATTATCAAATACTAAAATTCTCACGAATTTTAATCATTTTCCTTTTTTTTTTCTTTGAATACCAGAAATTATTTTTTTTTTTTAATTGTTAATAATATTTCACAAATTCTGTCACATCTATTTTGCTAAAATTTATTTACATGTCAAAGAATTTAACATTTAAACAACTTACGAGCAAACTGGTATAGTTCGTTGTGAATGTCAATTGTCATCTTACAAATACCACCGTTACGACAATAACCCCAATAAGCTTCCGTACAATCGTTAAGTTCAGAAAATCGACTTGATGCTGTTAATTTCTTTTGATCGTATCGTGAACGAGTTGAACAGCCATCTATGAAAAAAAAAAAAAAAAAAGGAAAAAAAATTTTTTTTAACTTATTTTGTAACTTATTAAAAATTATTACTATTTTCTTCTTTCTCTTTCTCCCTCTCCCTCTCTCTCTCCTTCTTTTTTACTCATTCTGTTATTAATTAGGCTTAAGTTATAGAGGGAATTTAAGATGGTAAGAGATATTTTTATACAGTTTTTCAATAAAAATACCACTATTATTATTTTTGGAAAAAAAGAAAAATTTGTTTTTTTTTTTCCTTTT